CAGCAACTATAACAGGTTTCACCTCTCTTCAGCAAAACATTTGAAAGTTACAGATCACACAGGCTAACTCAAACAGTTCCGGTTTCTGCCGGTGAATGCTACCCAATGAAAAACTTACTAGCAGCTTTCCAGTGTCAATCCCGTTTCCATTCCGGGCAAATTTTCAGTCTGCCTTAACACATGCCCTGGACCCTTGAGAAATCATGTGATGTTTATAGGTCCTTCCTGCAAAAATAACCTTTCACCAGCCCAACCAGGCAAAAGCGGCCATGACAAAAAGCCCTTGGAAGAAAGTGTGTTTTCTTGGAAGATATCAAAGGGGTCATGATGGCTAAGGAAAATAAAAACTAACCTGTCTTTATACTTTTTTTGATGGATGAGTAGAGACCATATTTAATATGTGAGGCCTAAAGTCTGGGTCTGACCTTGTTCATCTCCCAGTCTGATTCTGCAGTATCTTCAGTGAGAGCATCCAAGTTTCTGTCCCCCAGGAGTGCGCAAATCTTAGTCTCAGCACCTTCAAATATGTTAGGCGCATCTTCATTTGCTCGTAGAAAATTGTGCTTATTAATATTAAATAATATCCCTCAAAATACAGAAACATTGGAGAAGAAATATTTTCTCTCTTTTGTATAAAAAAATCTACTCCCCTTTTTTCAAATCGTGCTCTCTTCTTGTTCTTTCATATCTCTTCTTCTAAGACCTTACTGATGGGTTCACAGACTTTAACCTATTTTTCAAACAAACTAGAAAATTAGTCAAAAGCCATTATTATACTTTCTAGGGTCCATATTTCTTACTTTCTTTTTTCTTTTTTTAAGGAGCTCTGGTAAAGTTTTATTAAAGGAAAACTTTTTACTTTTCACCAGTCTGTTCTGGCATGCTTCTAATGATGTCAGAATCACCTGGGTCAATGATGGCCAGTGTGCATACTCTGTAGTATTTTCCACACGCTGTGCCCAACTCAATGTTATTGCCACTGTAGTGATGGACACCAGTTTTAGCCAACATGGCATAGTATTCTATTTCAGATTTCCTCAAGGCGGGGCAGTTGTTGGAGAGGATCACCAATTTCGCTTTGCCCTGTCTGATCATCTTCAGAGTCTGTTTGTATCCCAGCACGTACTTCCCACTTTTCATAACAAGCTGGAGCCGAGAGTTGATCGACTCCAGAGACTTCTTTGCTGCCACCATCTTCCTGCCTTAGGTGCGGGACGGCCCCCAACCAAGACCAGCCGCCAAGATGGCCGGGGAGCGAGAAAGGAACCATATTTCTTTTCTTTATACAAGGTAAATTAATTCTAATATTGTTATAGGCAATTTTATCTTCTTTATATTTTTGTTATTTATTTATGTAAACATGTGTGTATGTGTGAGTGTGTATATGTGTGAGTGTGTGAGTGTGTGTATGTGTGTGAGTGTGTGTGTGTGTGTGAGTGTGTGTGTGAGTGTGTGTATGTGTGTGTGAGTGTGTGTGCCTGAGGAGGTGAGAGGAACATCAGACCCGTTAGAGCTTGAGTAATAAGCAGCTACGAGTTGCCTGATGTGGGTGCTTGGAATCAAACTCAGGTCCTCTGCAAAAACAATACATGCATTCAACTGCTGAGTCATCTCGCCAGCCCCTAAACAATTTTTAAGTTAATTTTTAAATTAGCTTTCATTTAAATTTACATTTATAATTAAATTAAAATTAAAATTTTAACTTTAAATTTTTAAATTAAATTAAAATTTTAACTAAATTTTTAAATTAAATAAAAATTTAAATTTTTAACTTTAAATTTTTTAATTAAATTAAAATTTTAACTTTAAATTTTTAAAGCTAGTGGAGTGACTCGTCTGCAAACCCCTACCTGCCTGAGAGGCTCTGTGAGGTAAAAAGACCTGGGTTTAAATCCAATTTTACCGCTTTCTGTCTTTACGCTGCACAGAAGAATGTTAGTCCGTTTCTTTAGGTATCTACTGGGACGATGTGTAAAGTACCTGGTTCACAAACTCACTGCTCATTCAATAGGGTCTAGGATGTTTATTACTAAAATCAGCGGCCGTGCTTGTCGATACCTATTTAGTTCACTCAGCTGTCTTGATTGTCTCATACATATGATATTTCGTGGCTGGCAAAGCATTTTGAGATGACATTCTAAAGAGGCCTAAGTTCTAAAAGGCCTCCATAGTTAAAAACCTCGCTGGGCTGTCTGAGATGTACTGAGAACAGGTAAAGGAAGGAAGGCAGTTATTAAACCACAATCCCACACTTCCCGAACACAGTCATGTGACCGGAGCTCTTTAAAGCTCAAGTTCTGTTTGCCAACCTACTAAGCATGTAGGCTCCAGCTACCTCCTGAAGTTTTACCTGAGTCCTCTGTTCGTCTTTACGAGGAGAAGTGGCTTCTAAACCATCCCTACATTTTGGTTCTTTTCCAGGGATCCTTTTTGGCATGAAGATTCTACATGTTTAGTAGATTTCAGATTCAGGTCAACAACTGGTACTTTGCTTCCCAAAAATAGCTTTCCTGGTCTGCTGGACATATTTATATCCTCTCTCAACGATTCTGTGTATGCACGTCTGTGTGTGTGTGTGTGTGTGTGTGTGCATACACATACCTCAGACACTCTCTCACACACACTCATATCCACTCTTCAACACAGACCCATCTCGCAACACAGAAAGAAACTGACCTGAAAGGCCTTTGGGAGGCCCTAGACATACATTAACTCATGACCTGTTTGGGGTCCTAGACACCTTTGCAAACCAGAGGGAGACTGTTGACTCTTCCTCTCTAGACAAATAGCACACTTGCGCACGTGCGACCGCATTTTACAGACTCTGAAAACGAAATTTGTAAGTTTCATCCTTCTTCGGTGTGTTTTGGTGAGGACTCAAAGAATATAGACATGACAAGAGAATACAACCGCCTGTCTGCACACACAAACATAACTACCTGCAACAGAAGCTTCCGAAAACAGGTTGGTCACATAGTGCGATAGTTTCTAAGATAAATTTATTCTCTGTGCTTGCCTAAAATGTTGCTCAGTTGTTACCCAATCCCCCACAAACTGGAAACAAAAATATATTAACATCATCTAACTAACATCTTTCTGCTTGGGAGATAAAGAAACTAAGACCCAAGGAAACCAAGAGTCTGGCCCCCATCTTTATTGAGAGATAGCTGAACAAGCCAAAACATGTCTATTTGGATCGCCAGCCCAAGCTCGCTCTAATATTGTAATACAAAACAATCCAAATACCAGCTCCCATCAAAAAGGGCAGAAGAGAGACCTCAGGCTTCAAGCATGCTGATGCTCTGAGGTGGAACGCTGGCAGATGCTGGGCTGGGCCTGAGCCTCTGATTCAGGCAGCCTTCTTTCTAAGTCATGTCCATGGCCTAGCATGACTTGACAAATAGGCAAAATGTTTCCCCGTTCTCCATTTCTCCAGCGACTGCAACTAGCAAAGAAGAGCCCTCTCTTGGAACAGATTTTGAATACTTAGATCACACAGGCATTATTTGTCCACGAGTGGCAGCTGGCCGGGAAACAGGAGTGAACTGTCCTCTCCGCTTTCACCCGGGCCTCACACAGCTGTTTCTTCCACCCTGGGACTGCTTAATTAAAATTTAAACATCAAAACCACATGGATCAATGCGTGAATGTGAAGGGTCCAAAGCCTTTAAGCCGCCGCTGCCAACAACCTCAGGCCCCACCCCGTCACTTTTAAAGCCAGGAGAAGCCAGGATCCATTAAGACGCTGCCTTCTTGCCTTTGGTAGATTGGAAAGCTAGCCCTGCCCCTGGCATCCATCACATGTAACCGACTCACGGTCTCTTTGCTTGGGAGTTCTCCTGTATGTGAGTGTGCATATACCACTGCTCATCACGAGATGGGAATCTTTTAACAAGCAGAGGTCAGACACCTGCGGGGGGCCGGAGAGAGCACACGGACTACCGAGCAAGCGGGCAGGCTGGGGACAAGCGAGTGGTCACCTGGCGCCGGCCTGCCTGCACCTGCACACACGCCTAGCCAAGGGCAAAGCGCGTGGTCCCGGGCAGTTTCGGGCGTGAGGGCACGCTGAGCAGCTGCGGAAAAGCGAAGCTGGTGAACCCCAACATGAGCGCCGGGTCACTGAGATGGCGGCGTATCCCCGGACTCGCGAGTTCCCGAAGGGGCACCGTGGGGGGGGGGGGGGGGGAGCCAAGGATGCAGAAGGAAGTGCGGACCCTAAACCACGTGTACTCTGGGACGAACCGGGGGCCGTTGCTCCTCCCCTCCTCCCTCCCGCTGCGGCAGAAATTTGCCAGGGCCTCGGCCTTGAACCCCCGCCCTCCCCCAATCCTCCAGAGTCCTTGTTGCGGGGGTGGGGTGGAGGGGTCTTTCACTTCAATCTGTTTCTGTCCTTGCCCTCCCCTTCAACAGAATTCTTGTGCTGGTGTTTCTGTTTTTTTGTGCTTTTTTTTCTTTTTTTTCTTTTTTAGAGGCGGTGCGGGGGGGGCAGGGAATAGGGGGAGTTTGCGTCTGAACATCCCTGAGCAAGGTAAACAGTTCTGAAGGTCAGCGACGACTCCCCGCTGGTCCCTCCCAAAAAGATGAACGCTCTTCTGGAGATTGGCTAGAAAACCCGAACTGTTTAAGCACCAAGTTCTCCAGCTATTCCATTAATTGGCTGAAACCCTACATCTTAATGATTAACAATTGTAAACACTCCCCCAAAAATAAAAGTATCAAAATTCTGGAAGCAATTATAAAGAAAGCTGTGAGATAGGTTCTCGGTCAAGATTAATTCAAGAATGCAAAACATATATATACATATATTTAGTGCTGCAAAAATGGAAAACTGAAGGAAATGGTATTTAGAAAACAGTCATTTAAAGAGGACATATATTACATAACTAAAAATTACAATTAGACCTCAGTAATCAAATTAGCCATCAGCACAAACTAAACAGGTCCATATTGTGACCCCCCCCAGCATCTTTTAGCCGCCCCTCTGCTGTCAACCCCCTTACCTTTATTTTCAGAATCTTTCATTCTCTGTTCCCTCCCTCTGCTGCACGAAAGTAGAGAAGTCCAGCTGTCTTGTGCAACCCTGCCTTGGGATTTGTCATTCACGGACAGTCAGCGGTCCCGGGGGCAAAGTCCCTCAACGCAGAAGCACCCAAGCTATGATAATGGCATGCAAGTCAGTGTGCAGGGTTATAATTTTGCTTATGCTGGAGCGGAAGGGATGAGGATGAAGGCAGACGTAAACACGACTTCCAAAACATGGCATGGAACCGGATCTGGAGCCTAGGTTTGCCCTTCTCCCTTTCCTGGAGTTAGTGCCTCTTTGCCTCCAGAGAGATTCGGTTCGGTGTTGAACGTGGAAGGTCTGTGCAGCGGTGGAGACTTATTTCAAATGACTTTGGAGGGGGGGGGGGTTAAGAGCCCCAGCTTCCTCTTCTATACTCATGTGATGCTTCCTTCATTTATTTAACAAACACTTCTGGGTGGGTCAGGCGCAATTCTTAGCCCTGTAGACACAGCAGTGTGCAGGACCAAACCCTAGCTCTGCTCTCAATACAGAAGCAGCGGGTGCCATACGGTGACCTGTGCCTGCTGCAAAGACCTGATTCCTAAAGCCGCTTCACCGGGATCTAAATCAGTGGGCATGGAAGCTTTGCAAACCAGCCAGTCAGTGACTCAACCTGAGCCTGAGGAAGCCAGACCAGGAGATCCCTCTACCGAAAGGCAAGGAAGCTTCCAGCAAATGTTCTAGCCATCCAGACCACACTGAGTTTTGTCTCGTTCTACAACTCAGGTACATCCCTCCTTTCCTCTGTTCCACCTGTTAGGGTTTCAGAGGCTTTATGAAGCAGGCACGTCCCTGCTCTGGTAGCAGTTTTTACCTTCCCGTGAGAGAATTCAGACAAGCAATAAAAAAACCATAAGCGGGGAATAACGGAACGTGGCAATGAGGTGACAAGTGCCATTTTTAGACAGTGTGGCCAAGCGAGAGGATGTTTAGCTTATGAAAAGTGGGGCAGCATTATCACAGTCTTCCAAACATCTCTACTTCAAAATGGGACCGGGCGTGGCATTCAATGGCACAGTATTTGCCTGGCATTTGCAGGGCATTGGATTTGACCCGAAGCATTGCCTTACAGCTCTCTATGCCCCCCTAAACAAAAGGAAAACAAGTTTAAAGCTGCTTTTTCAAGGCTAGTGAGATGACTCACTGTGTAAAGATGCTTGCCACCAAGCCTGACTCATGGCCTGAGTTCAATCCCTGGGCTCTACATAGTGGAAGGAGAGACCCACTCCCCCAAATTGTCCTCTGACCTCCACACATGTAGCACAACACACATGCACACACATACGAATGCGAAATCGACCACCGTCATAATTTTTAAGTAAATAAACCTTTAAAATAAAATGAATAGGGGATGGAAAGATGGCTCAAAGGTTAAGAGCACTGGCTGCTGTTCCTGAGGACCCAGGTTGGATTCCCACCAACCACAGCTCAGGGATCTAGTGCCCTCTTCTGGACTCCTTGGGTACCAGGCATGTACATGGTGTATACACACACACACACACACACACACACACACACACACACACACACACATCTTGCTTATATATAAGCAAAACACCCATACACATGAAAATATGAAAATAACTTTTTAGTTAGAAATAGTTTTTTTCTAGTTCTGAACCTTCACAGACCTCCTTCCTCTACTACATGTTGCCTCACTGGTAGCTGGTTTTGTGTGATTTTTTTTCCCATTATGGATAGGAAAAACTGATGCCCAGAGAGATTAACCGATGAACTACAGAACCCATGTTTAGAGAAAACCAGCAGAAAGAAATCCATCTGCTACTCTCATCCTCAGAACTTCCTGATAAATACAGTCTTGACAAAGATGTTCCAGTGGACAAGGGTGTTGAAGACCCTTCTACCATTATCAACCGAGTGGTGAGGGCAGGTGACTTAACCTCACAGCATCATCTCCTCACCGATAAATAGGAGCTCGTCCCACCTGCCCTGGTACGCTGCTAGGAAGAGAAGAGCTGCAGAACTTGGTAAACAAAGCATTCTGTCAATGTGAGGAGTCATTACCAGCTGCTTGGGCACATTTAAGATGACTAATAAGTGTTCACCTGCACATGGCCGTAGCCATGAGTCAAGTATGGCCACGGAACAGAAGCTGTCTTGGTCACTAGGGGGCCCTGGGTTGATTTCTAGCTGTTTACATTTGAAGACTCCCTGTAAAGTTGGAAATGTTTAAGCATTTGGTTTTGGTTTCCGTTACCCCTTGGCGATGTATAATGGCTTTCTGCTGTTCTTTAGAAGGTTAGGGGCCAGTGAGTGGAACGCGCTGAGACAGTTGCATCTTGAATATCTCCCAGAAGCCCATGCAATAAAGTCTTGGTCTAAACGCACAGCTATTTGAAGGATGGTAACCCTTTAAGAGGTAGGGTCCAGAGGGGGGTCTTTAGGCCACTGGGAATACAGTCTCAAAGTGGATTATGGGACCACAGCACCTTCCCCTTCCTCTTTCCTGGCATGGGATAAACTGTTTTTGCTTTGCCATGGGATCCTCAATAATATGTTGCCTTACCACCAACCCAAAGCAATTGGTCAAACCTATTAGGGACTGAAGTAGATAAACCTTTCCCGAGGCCAGTGAAATGGCTCCGGGGGGGCGAGGACACTTGTTGTCAAACCAGAGGACCTGAGTTCAATCTCTAAAACCCACATGGTGGAAGGAGAGAACTGACTCCCAAAAGTTGTCCTCTGAACTTCACATATACATATGCACCCATGAACAATAAATGTAAAAAAAAAAAAAATGTTTAGGACAACCTGTTCCTCTGTAATTCATCTCACACATTTTGTTATAGAGATGGAAAGCTGAATGTCACAATTGTGTTCATTTTAACTCCTTCATATCCATCTTCCGAGCCTCGGGCCCGTGCATCACATCGAAGAACGGGGTGTTCTCCTTCGAGGACTGTCAAACTATGCTGGGTATGAGCATCCAAGGGGCTGAGATGCTGTAGACCTCATGCCCTCCCTTCACTCAGCGATACAGTCGTGTTAGGAACTCTGCTTCACATAAGGAAGATGCAGTGCTGAACCAACGTTCTATCTTGGGGAACTTATGGCCTCCAGTTGAGGGGTTCCTAAATCAGGCAAACAGATGCCAGGCCTGGGTTTGAATATTAGGGGGCAAAAGGGCTTTGAGGCAGAATAGACTGCGTCCAAACATGGACTGTGCCACTTACTTGCCTTTAGAAAAAGTTGGGGTGCATTCTGGAGCCTCTCTAAAGTTTCCGTTCTAACCGTATGGGTTGAAGATAGTAATAAGACCATCTCCTAAGGCTGGATGAAGCACAGTGACCTCATGAAAAGGTATGGCACAATGCCACGAGGGAAGGTCACGGTCAGTGCTGGAAGATTAATAGAATGCCCTGAGTCAGCCCTCTGAGCCTTAGCTTTCCTCATAAACTAAGGAAAGCAGTCATTAGTGTGTAGGGTTTTATTGTGAGAATTATACCCCAGGATGGAGGTAAAGCCTGTGGTCTAAAGGAGCAGGGACCCACAGGCTAGCTCACTCAAGTTGCTTTTGCGTCAGAGAAGGAATACCAGGATTTGAAGTAGTAAGGGGAGGGAAGAAGGAGGGCTGCCATTCATATTTCAAAGGAAGTAATGTGTTTTTAAGTGTGACCTTCTCTGTGGATACCTGCTTTTTCCTGAACGCTGTTTCTGCAAGGTTTCAAGCATACAAAGGAGTTGAAAGGGATTGCACAGTGAGCCCCATAACATATGCATTGTTGCGTCTGTGCATGTTTTTAACCTCTTCTTGGCTGCTCCTTGGTTTATCATGTGCGGGAGAGAGAACATGAGAGACAGAGAGAGAAAGACAGAGACAGAGAGACAGAGAGTGCATGCCATGGCATGTGATCACAGGGAGGTCAGAGAACGGCTCTGGGTAGTCTATTCTCATCTGCCACCTTTACATGGCTCCCAAGAACGGAACTCAGGGTTAGGCTTGCCCAGCAAGTGTCTTTGCCTGTTGAGCTATGTCACCTGCCCCATCTTATTATATTTTTTAGACAAAGTCTCACTATATTCCCAGGCTGACCTCAAACTTATGATCCTCCTGTTTTTGCCTTGGAAGTGCTGGACCCACAGCCACACCCAGATTTTCTCTCCTCCTCTTTTTTAAAGGTGGGGCCCAAGATTCAGCAGTCCTTCCGTCTTGGGACTATAGGCCTGGGCCACTGTATATGAGTAACTGAATATCTCTTTCTCCTTTTTAAAATCAGGTTGAAAGAGATTTGAAGGTCTTATTAAATGGAAAGGGGGTTCCCCTCATGACACAATATACCTTAGATCTCTGATCCTCAGGCCATTCCAGTTAGGGCCAGACAAGCTCTCCGAAGTTTTGACCTGCCTCAAGATCATGCCTCACTCAGGAACAAGAACAAGTCTTGGATTGAGTCTTTCCACCAAGGGGTGCCTCTGACCCCAAGCTTATGATAGAACCATAACAAAAGCAATTCTAAATAGCCAGTTATGCCATGATGCTCCGTCTCAATAACTAGGTTTAGGGAATGCCTCCAGCAACTCCACTGGCCACTAAGTCCTTGGCATTTCTGCACAGTCCCTTTCTTGTTAGGAGCCACTTCTGAGTCACTCGTGAGTCACAAGCATGCTGGAGAAAAGCGATGGCTTTCCCGGAAGTACCACACTTGGTCTTTCTCCACCCAGCTGAATCTCTGTTTGGTTTGCTCCAAGCACCCAAATGGCAGTTAGGAAGGTAAAATGGAGAGAGAAAACTCACTACCAAGCAATGGGGATGTGCAGCTGAGCATGCCTGAGGGCAGGTGGCATGGCTCCAAGGAAGGCAGAGACACCAGGAAGCTGAGCTACCCAACAAGAGGAAGGACGTTAACCCGCAGAATGCCTACCACTCGTCAGGCAGTTCGTTTTTACTGTCGTTTGTATGTTTACCGGAGAACTCATTTGCCAAGTAGTGGTTTTAATGCAAGGATGCTCCCATCAAGCCGCCTCGGTTCAAACCCCAGGGTAGCAACTATATCCCTATGGGAGCATGATCCAACCTTGCTCTGCTTTGGCCCTTTTCTTATTCATAAAATGGAGGCTGTAAAACAAGGGTGTTCAGGCCAGGAAGATGGCTCAGTGAGAAAGGGCTCTAGCAGCGCTAGCTTGATGGCCCGAGTTTGATCCCCTACACCCACAAAAAGCCAGATACAGTAGCCTCCATCAGTAATCCCAGCTCTCCTACAAGGCCAGAGCCAGGACCGGCTCCTAGAACACAGCACAGTGACAGAAACAATAGAGACCTCAACAAAGTGGGAAGGAAGAACCGATGCCTCCAAGTCCTCCTTGGACATCTGTGCACACACACACACAAACAATTTAAAAGTATGTATTGTGTGTATGTACATAAATACATATATAGAGAGACAAAACCATATACCCCCGTGTGTGTGTGTGTGTGTGTGTGTGTGTGTGTAGGCACTCTTTAGCTGGCATACAACACTACATACATGTTACAATCCCAAATCTTAGATGAGAAAAATGGCTGCGAGTGAGAGGCGAGGTGACTTGCCACAGCCACACAGACAAGAAGCAGCAGGGCCAGGATGCTCCACGTCATTCACAACTCACAGCAGCTCCGGGAGGGAAGGGCAGCATCCAATCATCCCCCTGTATCGCTGTGAGCCTGGTACCCCAAGAAATACTGGCAACTCACTCATGCCACAAGTAGCACATGGAAGAACTGAGACTCAGACCCACACTTGACAAAAGCCCCCATCTGTCTCATAGGACTGTTTCACAAAATTTAATTTGTATTGGGGTTACTTCAGGGCTTAGTAAAGGACAGGTTTCTGGGCTCTGTCCCCAGAGCTTCTGATTTTGTGACTCTAAAGCAGTGTGGAGTATTAGTACCTCTGATTTGGAAGACCTCCCTCAACAGTTATGCACCTGTAGGCATAGTAGGTGTTAGGGAAGGAATCGGGCCCCAGACGGTCAGCAGTGAAGCTCTGCCACTCAAAGTGGTGGCTACTTGCCAGGGCTTAACTATCTTGTATTTTCTGTGCATGTGTGTGAGTGTGTGTGTTTGTGTGTATGTGTGTGTGTGTTACCTATACAAGTACACGCTGGTGTGCTCAGGAACAAGGGTGACATGGTCGCTCAGGATCTAAAGTGGGTCCTTGTTTATTCAGCAAGGGCTCTCCTCACTGAGCCATCTGCTCACCCTAACTCCTTTGACTCCTTTGAAATGTGATCTCATTTGATTCCAGTAACCATGATCTCCATTTAATGTTATTTAAAAGAGAAAAAAAGACACACTGTTAGAAACAAGGAGTGAAGCTGGCTGACATGTGTTCTGCTGTCCTCCTGTCCTAGAAAAGAGTATGAGCTGGCACAGACTGAGCTGGTTCTAGCTGTGTCTTCCCAGGAAATAGCATATTTCAGGACCCAGCAGGGTGAGGTGATATCTAGTGGGAGGAACTCAGGAATGATTACCATAATCCCAAGGGGCTGGAGCCCTCTCCTGGCAACAGGAACACACCAACTCTCTGGACAGTCCCTTTTCTACACCTAGTAGCCTCGAGGTGTGATTAAAGAGCCATCCTCTGGGAAGGGTGGATTATTGGAAGGGTTCATTTCTACTCCACACAGCTTGATCATATCTCCTTTCATGGAGAAGTCTTCAATTTGATGCCAGAAGTGGAAGAAGACAAAAAACACTACATCAGCCGGGCGGTGGTGGCACACGCCTTTAATCCCAGCACTCGGGAGGCAGAGGCAGGCGGATCTCTGGGAGTTCAAGGCCAGCCTGGTCTACAAGAGCTAGTTCAGGGACAGGCACCAAAGCTACAGAGAAACCCTGTCTCAAAAAAACCTCTCCCAAAAAAAAAAAAAAAAAAAAACAAAAAAAAACACTACATCATTAAACTGAAATCAAGTAATTTATTAGAACCCAGAATATCTAAAGAATTCCTATAAAGAGAGAGAAAAAAGAACAACGTACCAAGAGTGGGAACGGTCAGCCACAGGCTTTTCACAGAGGCCTGAGTGAGTGGCCAGTGTTAGTGAAAAGATACTTAGATTCACTATCTATCAAAGGTATTCAGTTCTCCGAAAAAGACAAATGACCGTGGTGGTCATGGTTGTCATGATCATGCATGACTATTGGGACCAAGCCTGTGCATGGCATTTGGAAGGTGGAGGTAGCAGGTCAAGGCCAGCCTGAGATGCCTGAGACCATCTCCAAAAAACACAAAGCAATAAAGGGGCCCACGACATCATTTTATACACATCAAGCAGGCAAGCATTGAAATGCCTAACACTATCAGCTTGCAGTATATACTTGTATGAAATTGTGGAAGGATAAACTTACCTAATTTTAAACAAAAAGCCTAGCAGAACACAGAAAGGAATCAAGAAGCGTACCAGAAACAAATTAGCGTAAATTAGCATAAATC